TGAAAAAAAAATTTAAAAAAAAAACAAAAACATTTTATTATTTATTTTTAAGTAATCAATACACCCAACATGGGGCTCAAACTTACGACCCCAAGATCAAGAGTCGCACGTTCTACCATCTGAGCCAGCCAGGTGCCCTGATTGCCTTACATTTCTGATCCTGGAAAACTGAGGGTCCTGGTGACCTCTCTTACTTCTGTTTGGAACCCCCATCTGGACTGTGGTTGTGAACAGGTGGCACTGCTCTGACCTCTCTGATTCACTGCTCCTCTGCCTTGGCAGGTGATGTTCGTGATTGACACTGCGGTGACCAATGTAGAGGACCTGTCCTCGCTGGAGGAGTACCTTGCTGGTCTGGGCAAGAAGCACCGTGCCGTGGGTGTGAAGTTCAGCTCCTTCTCGGTGGGTAATGGGGCTCTCCCTCTCTCTGGAGCTCCTGACCTGAGGCCACCACTCTTCCTGTCCTCCCTGCCCACCTCTTCTCTCTCCCCATTCCATACCCTGAGATGACTAGGGCTGGGGGCCTGCATCTGTGTCTCCCCTGCCATGTGACCCCCCGGCACTGCCTTGACCTCTCTGAGCTCTGAGCCTCCAATTCTTCTTCTGTGGTGTGGCTTCTCTTAGAACCGTGGAAACTTAAGGAGCCTTTGGGATTCGCCAGTCTGTCCGGTTTCCTATCACTGTGTATAAAACCATCCCAAGCAAACGATTTCTGGGTTCGGCGGGGCCGTGCTTTTGCTCCGCATGGTGGGGCTGGAGCCACTCATGTACTGCACTCAGCCAAGAGCACGGCTGGGGCTGGTGCATCCAAGTTGGCCTGTCATCCTTTGGGGCCTCTTTCCCTGTGGTGTCTCGTTATCCTGTGGTGTCTCGTTATCGGTGGCCTAGCTGAGCTTCCTCGCAGAGCAGCAGCTGAGTTCCAAGAGGGCAGAACCCCGATGTGCCAGGACACTTCCTGCCTCCGCTTGCAGCCCCCTTGGTAACGCCCATTGGCCAAAGCCAGGCATGTGATGAGCTCAAGCTCCAGGTGGAGGGACCCCACTCAGGGGGCGTGAATCCTTGAAGTGTGGTTCACTGGGGGCCACGGACGTGACAGCCTACCCCGTAGTCCCGTCACCTTGCCAGATGGCCAGCACACCGAGGAAGGGACCACGCTCACCTTGGCCTCTCTAACTAGAGCACTGGTGCGGTGCCTGGTCTTTAGTGGATATTCTGTAAACATTTGTGGAATAAGTAAGCGATATTTTGTTATGGTTAATAACAAACAAGAGCCATTATTATTCTTGAAGGCTCACTGTGTACAGATGCTGTGCTAAGGGCTCTTTATAGATGGTCTCATTTAATCATGCCAGCAATCTGGTAAGTAGGAACTTTTACTTTTCCTGTTTTACTGATGAAGCAACTGAGGCTCAGGTTGTAAAACTTGCTTGAAGCCACACAGCTCATAAATGGTGGAATCAGGAAGTGAATTCAGGTCTGTCTGGTTGCAGAGTCTGGGATCTTAATACCATGAGTGCTGCCGTGCAGAGGAGGAAACTGAGTCCTGGGGGCAGTGACTTTGCTTGGTCTGAGCTGGGGGTCCCAGGCAACCATGGGATGGTTGCAAGGCTGAGTGGAATGAAATGCTTGGTTCACTATAAGGCCTCACATTTAAGGGAAAAGGGGACCCGATGTGGCACCCAAGGATTGGGGCAGAATCTTGCTCGGGAAGCATGGACCCTGTGCAGGAGAAAAGAAAGGTCCAGGCCTCAGTTTTCTCACCTGTGGAATGGAACGATGCCTTCCTGCCTTCAGGAATGACAAGGTGCCGCTTGCCTCTGCAGACGGTGGGTGAGTCCCTGCTCTACATGCTGGAGAAGTGCCTGGGCCCTGCGTTCACACCAGCCATGCGGGCCGCCTGGAGCCAGCTCTACGGGGCCGTGGTACAGGCCATGAGTCGAGGCTGGGATGGCGAGTAAGAGGCAGCCCCTGGCCAGCAGCCCCCACCTGGAGGCCCCCATCTGTCTGTGTCTGTCTGTTGCTCTGTGTCTGTCGTAGCCCAGCTCCCCTTAGGCCTCCTTGCACCTAGGCCCTTGTCCCCTTGACCACCCTGGAGAGGTGATGGAGCAGGGCTGGGTCTCAGTCCTCCTCATCTCCGACTGCAGACAGGGGTGGCTTTTCCTTCAAGAAGGGGCTTCTGGATTTCCTTGTGTCCCCAGTAGCTTTTCCCTGCCTGCCTTTTTCCCCCTCTAGCATCCCCTCCTCTGCTAAGAGAGGAGCAATGTTTGGGTCACAGAGGTGGCACGGGGCTGGGAAGGTGGAGATCTTTGAGAGCATGGACTCTGGTCATCCATCCTTCTCAGGTGAGCTGGGCCAAGCAGGGAGTGGGTGGCTGAGCTTCGGGCACCTTCCCATTTTGCCTGCTTTCCATTCTTCTCTCTCCCAGGGGTGTCTGCCTTTCATAAGTAAACAAGAGGGACCATTGTAGCCTTCATGGTGAAATCACAGGTGGTAGGGGCAGGTGATCAAGAGAACTGCTGGGGAAGGGAGAGCTGACCTGGGTCTGTGATGGGCTCAGCGGGGTCCCAGGGGCCTGCTTAGATGTCACGTGACAGAGTAGTTTTTCTTTTGCTGTTTCCAGTTCCCTCCTTCAGTGCTGCTGCTGGGAGCTCCTTTAGTACCACTCTGTAGAAGCCAGCTAGCCAGCCAGGGTGGGGTGGGGCTGGGGAAGGGCACGGAAGGAGGGGGATTTCACTCCAAAGAGGCCTGAGTTCTGGTGGCTGTTCCTCACCACCCCGCCCCAGCAGGGCTGGGTCTCACCTGCCCCGCGCTGCCTCTCTGATGCTGCCCAAATCCACTGCCGGGCACAGCTCCCCACGTTTAATAGCTTGTGTGTGTCTGTACTTAGGCTTCGATAGAAGAGAAAGCAGCAGGGGAGGCCCTCTGCCCTTGCCCAAGCTGTCTGCACTTTTACCTTTTGCTCTGTGCTGTGGTTGTATAAACTCATGAGGAATAAACCTGTTCTGTGTGCCTCTCTGACCTGCTGGGACTGGTCTTTTCTTGGGTGTCAGCTTGTGGCCAGATGAAGCTGTAAGGTGGGGGATCTAGGGCAGGGTGGGAGGATGGGGTCAGGAGTGCCAAGGCCAGAGAGTGGATATAAAAGAAAGGAGAGGCTTGGGGAAGGCAAGAAGCCAATGGCAGAGATGGACCTAGGGGTCTGTGATGGAAACTGGCTAGCAGGGCACCAAATTCGGTTCCTCTTCCTCTTAGGTACACAGCCAGACTACATTTCCCAGCCTCCTTTGCAAACAGGTGGGGCATGTGACCTAGTTCTGACCAACAGAATGTGTGGACCTGTGCGCCACTTCTAGACCTGGTCCTCCCAAACTCCTGCAAGTTCCTCAGTGCTCTGTCATCCCTCTGCCAGCCCGATGGAGATCTTACAGTGACCTTGAGGGCCATGTGTTGACTGTGGCAGAGCCACAAGATGGAAGGAGCCCGGGTCCCCGAATTGCTGCTTGGAGGAGAGCACCCACTAATCCGAAGTGTCTGGTAGGGCCAAGGAACTTCTCCATCCTGTGGAGCAAGGGCCCATTTTGAATTTTACAGGAAAGAGACACAAACATCTATTGTGTTTGTGCCATTATATATTTGGGGTTGTTTTGTTACAACATGCACCCACAGTAATCCAGAGTCTGAAGCAGTTCACTGGTCAGGGGTCTGAGAGCCCACCTCGTAGGGGACAAAGTGAGGCCAGGGATAGGAATGGGCCAGGCACCAGGACAGCAGCAAAGGGCACCAAAGACTCATAGGGTCTCTGAGGAAAACTTCTAGAGCCTCCCTGGTTGGGCAGGTGCCAATCCCAGGATGGGCTTTTTTAAGGAGATTGAATGGGTTTGCCTGCAGTGCACCTTGGAGTTGAAGAGCCGGTGTGAGAATGTGTGAGTGTGTGCGAATGTGTGTGTGGTCAGGAAGAGCGAGCAGATGCGGGTAGAGACCCAGCCAGGAACATGCAGCAGCATTAAGAGTGGGCATGATGGGGCACTTGGGTGGCTCAGTTGGCCTGGTGACTGACTCTTGGTTTTGGCTCAAGTCGTGATCTCATGGTGTATCTCACCCAGCGTCGGGCTCTGCACTGACAGCACGGAGCCTGCTTGGGATTCTCTCTCTCCCTTTCTCTCTCTCTGCCCCTCCCCTGCTCTCTGTCTCTCTCTCTTAAAAAAGATAAACATTTTTGTTTTAAACGTTTATTCATTTTTTGATAGGGACAGAGCGTGAGTGGGGGAGGGGCAGAGAGAGAGGGAGACACAGAATCTGAACCAGGCTCCAGGCTCTGAGCTGTCAGCACAGAACCCGACATGGGTCTCGAACTCACGAACCGCGAGATCATGACCTGAGCTGAAGTCGGACGCTTAACCGACCGAGCCACCCAGGTGCCCCTAAATAAACATTTTTAAAAAACAAAGAGTGGGCATCATGTGAACAGCCTTGTGGGGCCCCGGGGCTGGGCTGTGAACGGTTGGAGGGGCTCCGCTTGGGCCCACTGCCCTTGCCCTGAGGCTTCGGTTTTCTCCGCCAAGACCAATGTTGCTGGTGCCTGCAGGGCCTCTCTAGCTCCCAGCTGGGGCCTCATTTTGGATAAGCTCTGGTGACCCCGCCTGCCAGGCTGTGTGATTGCAGACATGGTCTGGAGCATGCTGGGGATGCTTTTCTCCCTATGACACCAAAAGCATTTTTTCTCGAGCCCCAAAGGCTCCAGTGAGAGAAGGCCTCCTTCACGAGACCTAACAGCTGAGACTCAGGCAGCCAGGCTCCTGAATGTTTGTCTGGGGTGACCTGCCTCTGGAAAGGCCGAACACCCTCCTTTGACCTGGGTCTTGAGCCATTGTAAGCATGGGCGTGTTCACCTCTCTTGAAGGCTGCCTTTCTACTTGTGTGTGCACCCACGCATGCAAGTGTGTGTGTGTACATGTGAGTGTGCGTGCATTTGAGCGTGCGTGCATGTGGGATGGGGGGTGGTTCCTTCTTCCTCTGTGCCAGTCTCAGCCCTGAATCCTCTCTCTCCTGTATTCTTCCGCATTCTCCCAGCCATCTCCCATCTTCTACAAGGAGCCAGCCCTCCCTCGGCCCCTTCCCGCTCCAGCTACTGCCCTGCATCTCTACTTCCTTTGATAGCAAAACTCTACAGAAGTGTCTTTCCTTGCTGTTTTCATTTCCTCACGCCTATGAGAGAATGGGAGCCTCCTTCACCCAGGCTCTCGTCCCCGCCCCTGATCTGCTACCACCAAGGTCACCCAGGACCTCCGTCCTGCCCAGTTCAGAGGTTGAGTCCCACTCCTCACCTTGCTCTTCGGCTCAGTAGCCCTTTGAAGAGTTGATCACTCCTTCATTTTAAATTTTTTATTATGGGGGCGCCTGGGTGGCTCAGTCAGTTACGCTTCTGACTTCAGCTCAGGTCACGATCTCGCGGTTCGTGAGTTCGA